CTCTACATGGTCCGACAATGAGATCTCCCTATAAATAATTCCCCCTTTTTTGGGCCCTTTACAAGAAAACCCACCATGATCTTGAGAGGTTCCAATCCAAGCGTCAGCACGCGTCACACCTCTCGGGCCCTCTAGCTTAAGCCCCACCCCCTTCTAGTACAATTTTTTTTCCGTTTTTCCCGAAATGGCCTCCATCCAGCAGCAGCAGTAAGCCTTTTAATATTCCAACCGCCTCCTTATCGTATACTACTAGTACGGCGTTTACCATATCCCAGACTCTGCTCCCAGTTAACTTTCGTCGAAACCAATTCAAATTTCTTTTAGCATCCACTATCAAGAGACCTGCTCTTATCAGCACCACTAACACTAGTGGAGGAAGTTTGTTTGAAAAAAAAAAAAAAAAAAAAAAAAAAAAGAGGAAAAAAAAAGAGACCGGCTAGTCAATCACTCCTCAAGTCTCGTGTTTGACTCTTGAGCTTGCTACTGCGAGTCTGCGAGAGCTTGCCTGACAGACGGGAACCCCGTCTTAACGGTCTCATATTTCCGCTATCATAATGAGTATCACAGTGTTATAATAATTGTGTAATTGTGGTAGTCTAAGAGTTTTTGATGGCTTTCCAACTACTAGTAAGGTGCATGTCCCATTCAGCGTTAAGTCAGAGACACCGCTGACTCCGATATGACGAGATTGTCGAGGACAGCTTGTCTTTCATCATGGATTCTATCTTTATCGTAACGGTTATGATGGCCTAAATCTTCGACTTCCCTGTGCGGCGTTTGCTCCTCGTTCCTTCAAACAGCTCGTATCGTCGACTTTGCGTTGAGGCGTTTGCTCATTCTATCTTTATCGATATGATGACCTAAATCTTCGGCTCAGCTTTGCGGCCTACATCTTCGACTTCGCTTCAAACCGTTGGACAAGTGCTCTTCATGATGAGTAGAATGAGGGCAGGCCCTGCCATAAGTATGTGCTGCTGTAAACTTGTTCCAGTCTTCCAATCAATGATATAATGTTGACGATCCACTGATCCAGTCTATTACACAACCCGCCCCGCCCCCGCCCCCGGCCCCGCTTCCTTCAGAAAAAAAAAAGAGAAAGGTCTTGCTTGCTCTCTCTCGTAGTGCTGGACCCTGCTCTGCTGATCTGTCATGCCAGAAGTCGTAGGTTCTAATCCCAGGTATCCTAGGAGGTGCGGTTCAGTGCTGGTATCAAACTGCAGGTCCCTCCTCAAGGCTCATGCACATGTAAGAGGTTCTTCGGTCTGTAGTCTACAAAAGAGAGAGAGAGAGAGAGAGAGAGAGAGAGAGAGAGAGAGAGAGAGAGANAGAGAGAGAGAGAGAGAGAGAGAGAGAGAGAGAGAGAGAGAGAGAGAGAGAGAGAGAGAGAGACGTTCTTCAGTGTGTAGCCTGAATGTATTTGTCCAGATAAGACTTATCTCTGCTTCAGAATAGTAATTATGTCAGATGCCACTACACGGCATCTGTCTCGTCCTTCTCGATGTGTCACGACATCCGCTTGCTTGCAATATGTTGCCCTGTCACGTCATGTTCTCTTCGCAAATAGGTTTCCCAAAGTCTCATTTCATTCTCTGAGAGGTTCGATCCCCTGACCTCATGTTCTTTCTGCGATGCATGACTTTTTTTTTTTTTTTTTTTTTTTTTTTTTTGGTTGAAAACTAGTATGATCTCAACAACGTGAGAGGCTCGATGCTTCGATACTTCGATACCTTGACGACGTTGACGTCACCTCATTACCGAGTTCCCGCCCGCATCGTGCCGTGACCTTGGGGATGTGATGAAGATGAACCATCTCCATGCATGCGCTGGAGTGAGGGTGCTCCCATTAAGGAGGGTTGGCCGTCGCCTTCCAATGCCTTCGCTCCTTGCAAGAAACCCATGCGAACTTGCGAAGCGATGTCGGCCACGGCACTTGGGTTGCTTGGCATGAACACTGTCGTGTTCTTCGAGCGCGACCCAATGTCTTTCATTGTGTCGAAGTACTGAGTGACGAGCACCAAGTCCAACACATCCTTTGGAGTGGTCCCCTCCACCTTGGACGAGAAGGTCAGCACGCTCTCTCTCAGCCCATCGACGATAGCCTGTCGCTGGCGGGCAATACCGAGACCGGACAAGTACTTGGCTTCTGCCTCTGCCTCTGCCCTCTTGACCTGAGCAATCTTCTCGGCTTCTGCTTTGTCTGTTGCTGCCACTCGCAATCTTGCAGCTGATCGCACAAAGCAATAATTGCAATTGGAGATTTTTGTTTGTTTGGGGGTCGAACAATGTACAATTGATGAAAGGAAGAACAGCAGAAGGTAACTCAAGGAATTATAATTAGTAGGCAATAATCAATAACCAATAATCAATAATCAATAATCAATGCTGGTTTACGCATCCGCATCCGCATATTTGGGGTTGCAGTGGGAGTACGCCCTAAGAGTGAACGCCTCACATTAAAAATAAAAATAAAAAAAAAGAAAAAAGAAAAAAGAGCAAAAGAAAAAAAGAGAAGAAAAAAGAGAGAAAAAAAAAAAGAAGAAGAGAAAAAGAGAAAAAACTGACGGCCTCAGCCGCCTCACCACAACGCCACACCACTGTCGAAACGAGAAAGTACAAGTGCATCTTCCAGAGAAAGAGGCAAGATGCATGCCTAAATTACTATTTTATAGCAGTGGATGCATTGTGCCTCTTTCTGGGGAAGATGCACTTGTATTTCCTTCTTATCTGGCCACAATGGTGTGGCGAGGCCCTCACTCTACCAACTCTACTTACACCACCACTACATCCAAGCTTATTTTTTTGTTAAATTTTTAACCTTTTGCGGATCAGAAATAGTGCTTCGTGTCTAAAGAGAACCAATTCGGTGCACGGCCTGAAGGTACCATTCGTTTCTCCCCTTTTCGGCCAGGTGCCCCCTGTGCTCCTCCTAGCCCACCACCCTGCCGTATCCCTCGGCAGCACTCCAGTCAAGATGGCATTAGCCATGAGGAAAGGCGCATCCCAGACAATGGCAGAGGACACAGAATCGTCCATAGCCTGCATGACAACGGCCTTCCTCGCCCCCAGTCTTCTTGCTGCCCGCTGTTGCAGCCCATTGGTCGTTTGCACGTGCCTGGACACTGCCACTAAAGCTGTCACCACCAATAGCTTCTCCCGTTCTGTCAGCCCTCCATGCCCACCCTCCTCACCAGGCCCTGCCATACCGTCAACCTCCTCCATCTCGCCTGTCAACCTCCGCTTCGAACCCCTTCTCGCTGCTGCAGGTGACGACACATTGGAGACTCCGGATAGCGCTGCAACACTTGCACGTACACGAAGACAGCGAGGTTTCGGCGAGTGAACGCCTGGCTATTGCACCGCCCGTGCAGGATACCATGGCCGAGGAAAGACATGGATGATGGTACCAGCAGTGGGCCCGCCCGAAGACAGACATCTTTTTTGTCTGGGGGGTGCACTACTGGATTTCACGGCCATCACCAGCTCCCTGTGAAATGGGGGGCAAGGGTGTTTTTGTTTCAAGGGTGCCAATTTCAAGGGCTTCTACTAGCCTTCTAGTGCACATGGACATGGAAGGAAGATTCGTTGTCCTGAAAATTAATCACAATTCTGTGATTACTAATTAGGGCGCACTTGAAACTCAAGAGTTCTCTAGTGGTGTGCAACGAGGCTCCTACACCACCAGACTGGTACTTTTCCCAGCAATTTTTCTACAGCACGGATTGCGCACGTGCACGTCTGGCAGGATGTATCGGCCTGCTAGACTAAGTTCGGTACGAATACAGCCAGGCAAAATGCGTCAGCTTTGCACACTGCACATGCTGCAATCGGCGATTAGTAAAAAATGCTGGGAAGCGTAGAGGTGCGCTGGCCAAGGGGGAAAACTACAAAAGTGGTAGGTTGGAAGGGAAGTTCCATATTAGGAATACCGCATGGCCAAGTGCGGAAGGCACCCCTCACACGTCTAGAAATCGAACCTCTACAAGAACCTGCGTTTCAAAAAAAAAAAAAAAAAAAAGGCTGGGAAATTTAAAGCAGAGGTTGTTTAACAAGCCACAGTGAGTGTGAAAGATAGTGAAGAGAAAAATGTCTTGTAGCGGCACACATACCAGCGTTGATCTCATTCATGGACCGCTTCACCACGGCGTCCGGCGCAATATCAGTAATCAGCGTTTGCTGGATGTCATAGCCAAAGGTTCCCATGACCTGCAAAGGGAAATTAGAGCAGAGAAACAGGACACAACCACGTTAAACCACTGCAGTACTTTCTAAAGTTATGCCCGTTGATAAGCCACAATTTTAGCAAACGTACGGGCCACTACAGGAGCACCCAAATTCATCCGACTGCTAGAAACGTTTGTACTCTTAGACTATTTTTTTCCACAACAGATAGCTGGGCCCGGCCAAGTACTGGTGGTTTAAACACAACCATTAAATTATGAGGTGGATATCCAGCACCTGGAGATGTCTTTCTCAGGAAGGACTACATAATTTCTGAAATTCGTCCCTCGGGACATCCGTTAAAATTGGAACGATACAGAGAAGGGTAATTACCGAAATGGCCCCTGCGCAAGGATGACACGCATAAATCGAGAAATGGTACATTCTGAAATTCCATGATTGGCTGCATATAGACCCATGGATTCCCTCCCCTCCCACAAAAGCCCCAAGTTGAACTTCAAGTAGCACTGTAGCACCACTGGACCAGCCAGCAGTCCTAGAAAACTCTAGGGTGTAAGGAAACTTCTAGGGTGTAAGGAAACTTCTAGGGTGTAAGGAAAGTCTAGGGTGTAAGGCTTCAAGCACGCAGACCCTCCTCGTACGAACAAATTCCCGAATTTCCCGGGCATGTTGAATTTTCAGATTGTGACTCTCAGGTTACCTTACCCCAGTCTTAATACCCCACTTCCTCTCAATAGCCACACATCAACCATAGCCTCCTTTCAAGCTATACTACTTCATTTTCTCAGTCAGTCACAAAAACCTCTACCTTACTCCCCTAAGCTCCCCAATCCCTACTTCTCCCGATCCAGATAAAAACGTCATCGGGGTATAGCAGGTGACCCTCCACAGCAATAGATTGGAGTCTTTGTGAGGTGAAATAGGGGTTGATGCTCGTATCGTCATCCCTAATCACTCTTGTCAATGTTCTGGTTAAAAAAAAAAAAAAAAAAAAAAAAAAAAAAAAAAAAAAAA